TACAATACCTAATGGTATCATTACAGTATATGAGATAAGATATAGAGAGTCTACCAGTACTGGTCCATACACTATAACTAACACTACTAACACTTATTACAGTATAGTAGGATTGATACCTAATGCTATTTATACAATTGGAGTGAGAGCATATACTAGTATTGGACCAGGAGAATGGACTGCAGAAACAATTAACATTGGTAAAGTTACATTTCTTAATTTGAAATACATGTATTTTCTATAATTTCATTCATAGCAAAGGTAGGAAGTTTTACTCTCATACATCTCAACTCAACTACTGTACAAATGAATTGGCTACCTATTCCAGGGGCCAGTTACTACACTATCTATTACAGCAGTGGGTATGATGATGACTCAATGAATGTTAGCAATGAAACAAATGAAGTTATTATACCAGAGCTGTACTCATGTCTCAGTTACTCATTTGAAATGTCAGTGACTATAGAAATAAATGGAATTTATTATAAAGGACCTAGAACTGAACCAACAGGTAAAGTAATGCTTTAGCTATCAAATGCTAAAATATTATAGTTATAGATCTACCAACAGTGGAATTTTCTTCCTCTTTTTACACAGAAGTGATAAGTAAATGTTTACTGTTAATAATAATGTTTACCTTACTGTATGTGGTTTTGGTTTTAATATGTATGCACACATTTAAACAGCAACATTGATACGTACTTTATAGATTTATACAAAACAACAGAAGTACTGTAAAATAATATTTATTTTATAAATTTAGGTACTTCATCTCCTACCTCTGCATCAAGTGATGAATGCATGAACATGTCAACTTTATACGTATCCCTATCAATACTGGGTATCTCTTTATTTATTAACGTGATATTTGTATGTGTGGTGATTGGGATGTGCTGTAAGAAGATAGCTTATAGTGTCAAGTAAGAGATAGAGAGAAGGATGAGGTGAAAAGAGGGAGAAAAAAAGAAAAATACAGATCAACTTATTTTTCTTATATTGTGTATTTCAGATCCATCAAGTTAAAGAATGATGTAGAGCATGACTATGCTGTCCTTGAGTAAGTAATGATTACAATAAAAATGATATAAATTAATAATTCTATAACATAACAGGCCCCCAATAGTTCAAAATCCACAAAATGTTATATATGAATCACCTTTGGACTTGGCATCACTTCAACCTCCACAGAACAACTAAACTGTACAAGCAGAGCAAGAAAATCAATAAAAACAATTATCTCATTTCATATACAATTTGCAAGTATTTTAGATCTAGTCAATTAGGATTGTATACATGAACTTAGCATTTGGTGTGTGTGTGTGTGTGTGTATGTGTCATACATGTACATGTACATTGTGGATGTGTTATTACATTATAGAGTGTAGCTCTATGTCATGTGTGTTCATTTTTGCAATCTTTGTTTGCATCAGATCTTTTCCCACTGTAGTGCTTTTTTGGGAAATACTTTTGTATTATAATGCATTCATTTATTCATGCTATAACAAACTATCAGTGTATGATGAGTCAATGCTGTAATGGTCACAAGACAGTTGATGTTTTGGCATTAGAATCAATGCATGTTCTGGTTTTGTAAAGGAAACATAAGCTGGCATTGGCTTCTTAATGTAGTCAACATACTTTATGTTTTCACATTTGAAATAGCAATTAAAAAAAGATTAAATAGGATTCTGAATGACCAGTGAAGATACGAAATGAAAATCTTACTCTCGTGATGCAAATTCTACTCTACATTGTACTTTTAATAATATTATGTATATTAGAGTTACGGATCACCTTGCAATGTAGAGTAGATTTTGCATCACGGGAGTAGGATTTTCATTTTGTATCTTCGTTGGTCGTTCAGAACCCTATTTAATCTTGTTCTTTTTAAATTTTTTATGTTCTTGTTTGTGTTGATTTTTATAATAATTTCTTTAGTTGCATATGCTGAATGAATATCTACTGTACTGATGACAAGGGAAATTAATACTAGTCTTGATACAAGTCCTTGTTCAAGAAGCAATGAGAGCTCCCGTATCTATGATGATGATGATGATGACGATGATGATGATGATGATGAAAAAAGGTGGCAAGGGTTGAGCCTATTATGCTCATAAAATTTCCCATTATTCTTTCTGGAAATTCTTAATAATTTCCCCCATTATTCTTTTCATTTTATCCTATTATTCTCAATTTATTCTGAATAATTTTCTCAAACAATCAATTTTCATCTAAGAATTGCATCCCAGCAGTGTTTTAAAAATAGGTCTTCCAAAAAACACTCGCCAAAAATTTTAAAATTTTCTTCTGCAATCACCATTGACCTCAATTCCACCCATTATTTCACTATTATTCCTATTTCCATCCAATTATTCCAGAATTATTCCTCATATGAGGAAGCCCCTATTATTCCTAAAATTATGCTGGAATAATAGGCTCATCCCTAATTAGGTGGCCGGCAAAACGGTCTTTTTCCGCTGGATTTTTAAGACTTTCCTCTCACTCAGACAAGGTTTAGTGCCATGCTAGTGGTACAAATGGAGTCCTCTGGTCAAGATAAGGTCCTCTAAGAAGTCTGGTAAACATAGGAGCTCGTTTTTTTCAGTATAGCAACTATTATCACGCAAATTAGCAGTCGTGGCAGCCATTTTGAAGCTAGCGTGTTACTAATAACGCTAGCGCGTTACTAATACAAATGTTATACATAGATTACTGTTGACAGTTCATATTATGTGTCAATTCTCTGAAGATGTTGAGGGCACTGCTTCTTCTTGCCAGCTTCCTCCTGTTGAGAGTTGAAGGACAGCAACCTAATAACCTGCCTAGTAATGGTAAGAATATAAACTTAATGCATGTCTTCAATATTAAACAAACTTGATGTAGGCATTCAATTGTATCTACCTTTTGTGAACAGGATAATACCTGATTACTCTATGATATATGCTAGCCAGTTTTATGATATTGATCAGAATAATGATGTTAACAATATCATTGATGCTTTGTGGTGTCAGAGTGCTAACAATAGTACTAATATTGGAGTGTAGTATTATCCTAATGGAACTGAAATACCTTTTATTTGATAGACCCTTTGGTGATAATTCAGCTCCTTGCCCAGTGTACAGTAAGAGATTTTTTGGTCAAATTGCATTGGCTAGAAGAGATGTTCTATCAGGATATGAAGGTTTATACAAGTGTATCATTCCTGATGAGAATGGAGTGGATCAAATACTAGTGGTTGGAGCATATACTGATACTGGATACAATAACAATGGTATGAGATGAATATAGACTATAATTAATGTACTTCTTTTACAGATGGTCCTGATGCTGATCCTACTATGCAGTTCTCTCTCCTCTCCACTAGTAGATTAGCTACTCCTCCAGTCTTCAGTCTCAGTTTCAATGTCTCTGATGGTCCTCCTACTACTGTCAGTTGTTCAGTGAATGGGAATGGAATATCTACTGAACTGTCTCGTGTGATAGTGAATGGACCAGGATCTGTTACAAGAGTGAGAGTAACAGTGAGACTGAGAGAAGCTGGTGACTATCAGTGTATTGTATTTAATGACAGAGTAACTGATGGTCATATTGCAGGTGTACGGGCAACAAGTAGTAGCACATTTTTGAGCTTATCAGGCTTGTGCCATTATTAATTATTTATATTATTATAATTATTTCTTTTTAGTATCTGATACTCCAACTGGTTTAACTGCTACAAGATTAAGTACTGGTTTAGCTCATGTAAGACTCT